ACAGGGAATCACTCCTATCCAGCTCACCATGAGTCCTAACTCATCAGGAAACCAGTGAGGTTTCTTCATGGTACTTATTATTTTCCTATTTAATATGATGGACCACAAGATTCTCAGGGACTATAGTTGCATTATGTAATGATCCTAGGAAGATGATGTTTTCATAGAGGGCTATTCAAATCTTGATGTGCTTAGCTATTTCTAACTAGAAAATTAAAAAATATATTAATAAAAAAGGAAGCTTTAGTCTAATAGTATGCTTTGGATTAATTCTAATTGATCCCACAGAGTTGAGAACCCCATTCTGGAAAGGCTAACATATGAAGTAAAGCTCCTTAAAAATAGATGACTTTTCTATCGACTTTGGATGGTGGTGACATCTCTGGGTGTAATAGCCTTTTTATCCAGAGAGATCCACAAATTGAATGTAGGGATGGAGCAGAGCTTTAGCTCATTATCGTGAGTCGCATCTCAGATCTTGCAGGTGATGGTCAGTATTGTTTGGTAGCACACCAGAATGGCTCTGAGCATTTAACAGAGTATACATGTCACTTGGACATAGAAAAGCTTACTTTATTACCACCCACTGGTAAGTGTTTCCTGGCTGAAGACCAATACAGGCTAATATTAACTTGGTAAATTTATGAATGAAATTTATGAAATTTACGCTTCTTCAATAATAATCTGTATACTCAAGTAAATCTTATGTCTGGAAGGCTATAGCTCTCAAGATAGAAAGTTTTCAGAGTTTGAAAAAATTGAGTGGAATGGGCACACTAGTTATCACTCAATTCAACTGCTTACTCTTATACAATTATTCAATAATTTTGATTAAATATATATCTTATGAATGATGTTACGTCAAACAAATGTTTAATAATAGAATTCTCTTATGAAAGGTTTAAGACCATCACTCAATGAACTGTGGACGGTTGCTTTAATGTTAGAAGAGGTAAAAAGAGGAATCAAAATTTAGCCTCCATCAAAATAAGCACCGTGTCATGTCATATCTCCCCCACTTCTTGGGCTAACATAGGGCAGAGCCTGCAACAGATGCTTGCCAAAGTGCTCAGGGATGATGGAAGTACCAGGTTGGTAAGTCTGGGCTTTCTGGTTCTGTTCCTTCCAATAGTATATGGAAACAGAGCTGTGGGTAACAATGTTCTTGTTTTAGTTGACAAATGCTTTCTTAACAAGCTATGGATTGAGGTCAGGATGGGGTTAAATGCCCAATAGTTAATTTGTTGAAGTATAAATCTTTGGATCAAGCCAGAACAATGGTGCACTTTTGTGTACATGGCTAATTTCTCCGTCTTGATTTTCACTGCTGTTGAAGGACACTTTGAAAGTTAACAGACATCATGCAGAATCCTCTAAGTGATTCGATTTTTTTAAAAAGCAAATCTGTTTAAAAAAAATCTGATTAATATTCTGCTTTGTAACTTACATAATCCATATTCAATCTCTTAATGAGCTTTTGATTGTCACAATGTTCCCTGTGTGTACTTGAAGGTGAATTAAAAACAAAAGTAGTGAAAACTACACTTAATATCCAAAAAGTATAAAAAGGTCATTCAACAAATAATCAATATCTGATATATATAAGTATATTTTCTAGATATAGTATACATTTCTACATATTGATTATTGATAGTATGACAAATTTAAAGTACAATTTAAGGAAAAGCCTGTCACATGGGCTTCTAATGTTGTTCCCAGAGTATCAGCAAACTTTAAAGACCAAATAGTGCATCGTGTGTGCAGGCAGCTCTAAAATATTGGGGGTTTTCTCCCCACATTCCTAACATAGTAATGTGCCCTTATATAATATGACTAGGTTTTCTGATGGATTGCAAGTATAGTCATTTGTTATGACAAAGATAATCAAGACTCCACTAATGAACCACTCATAACCTCATTATTCATACCATATTTAGGCATCAAAACACGATGTTATGATTTGATTGTTTTTCTTCTTTACTACACCTTTGTACTTATCCACTCTATCTTTGTAATGACCTATAAAATAGTAACAAATATCTCTTTAATAATTTAATTATTATTAACTACTACCTACTTTTTAGAACTTACCCCATTCTATTGGCCATTGATAAAAGGAATAATTAGAACCCCAAAGTATTCCATTATTTTTAGGAATTTCCTGACCAAAATTACAAAATTTATTTTGTCTATCATTCCTCAACATTGAAAAGACAAACTTTAAATCCCACTGAATATTTGTTTACTAGCACCTTGTTTTGCAATGGGTCATTTTGGAAAAAAAACTAGGTGTAGTTCAAATTCTTATGTTTTACAAGAGCCATTGGGACATATGTCAGGCAGTTAACTTGATTAAAAAATATGTTCAGACCATTCTTGTCCTATTGCTACCCTTTGATGAACACAAGAAAAACTTTGGAGAAAAAAAAATGTGCTTCTCTGAGTACAATGCAGTGATAAGATACCCCCATGCCTAACTAGGAAATTAAGTCAGACTTTTCCATTTGCATACTGAATGTCAGCTTTGCCATCTGGTCATTTTATTTGTTCAGACACACAAATATCCACAATTCAGCACAGAATATTGAATTGATCTTAACTTTATTATTATTGAGCTTTCAAATAATTTCCAAAATATTTATTTTTAATTATTCTCCGTTAAGTGGATTTTATTATAAATGACCTTGAGTCATCTTGAAATTATCCATAGTATGTGTTATGTTCATACAGTGTTCAAGTTTGTTTATGTGACAAGATATCTAGTCATAAATTTTTGGAGGCTTTGGGAAACTATCTTGGAGTAGAAGAGGTATAAGTCTTGAAACACAGGTAAGATTTAGATACTAATATTTATTCAGCACTTCAGGTAAGACCCACTGGGTTCCTCTTACATGTGGCAGAGAAGAATAGTCTCGAAAACTCTTGAGTGGAGACTTAATAAAGAAGAAATGTAATAGATGAAGCTTAAACATTTGTGAACTGGAATAAAGAGCCTTATAAACCAGACATTCTATATGAGACTTTTTTTTTTTGTTTTGATGTCTATGATAATTAAACAAGATGTGTAAAACATGGAGAAGTAAATCTTTACAGGCAAAATAAGTTGAAATTTCATTCCTATTTATTAATTTTTTTATAGTTAAAACCTTGTCATATAAATAAATACAATTTTTAACCTTATGGACAAGGCAGTGGCCTACTATAATTTTCTAATGTAATTCCTTGGAGATTATTTATTAAAGAAAACTGCACTTTATAAACATGGCATACATAGAATTTAGTCTGATTCCTGCTTGAGAAGGTTAATCCAGAGAGAATTGTGAGCTCAGCGATTGCCAGGTCTTAAATAATTAGAGCCTGTTTTGCGTTATCTCTGATCTAAGGACTTAGGGAGGATCTTGCAAAGGACTTTTGGGTAGATGTCTAAGAATTATTTGGATCTAGGAAGACACAGAAATAGGAAAGGCATATCAGTTTACCTTTGTGAAGAATGGATCTGGTCAATGCAGTTTTGTCTGTGCCATGAAGGAGGGTTTATTCCTCACTTGGCATATTAATGGGTAGGATCTCCAGCGAGACTACTGTTCTTGGTGTTTTTCTCCAACCCCTAACTCTGCTGAGTTATCTGAGTGATGAGCTTTGGAGGAGGAATTCAGAATGCTCAACCTAGCCCACTCCTTTCTGCTCTTTTGGATCACCCAGCTAAACATCTTGTAAAAGATATTTTTTGGGGGGTGGGTACCACTATATTCTCGATTCTGGGGACACAACTTGACTTTGGATAAATCCTTGAGAGTTCAGATTGGCCTGTTTGCTATGTTGCTGTGATGGTCTTCAATTCCTTGGTCTCTTTAGTGTTAGAGAGGCATATAAGAAACTTGATGTTCCTGAAGCAATGCAACTTATGTGGTCCTGAAGGAACAATATTCTTTACCATGGAAAATATCCTGGATGCAGCAGTTGAAGGCTGACCTAAAGGGGTAGAAAATGTAACAGGATGTGTTTCTCTTCCTGCAACCAATTAATGTACTGGTCTGGTTCACTATGGAGACTTCTATGGAAAAATCTGTACTCTTCACCAGCTGTGTCAAGAAGATACACAAAACAGGAGGTTTGGTTCTGTGGGAACATCCTAAGGAAGAGGAAAATAGAAGACAACTCAACCTCTGCTTGATCACAGACTGAACATTCAAAATCAAGTTAAGAGAATAGAAAGTCAGACACTGCTAGAGGGAGAGTTGATAGATATTCTTTGTTTTCTTTTCACCTAAATTTGAATTTATGATCTAATCTCTTTGTCCTAAATTGTTTAATTGATTTCAATTGAAGTAGTTGCAATATCTCTACCTATTCTCTCTCTCTCTCTCTCTCTCTCTCTTCTCTCTCTCTCTTTCTCTCTCTTTTGACTGGTCTTCAAGGAGAAGAAGCAGAATTGGTTTGAAGTAACCCATGTGATGTAGAGCTTCTTCCTGTAGCAGAGGCTAGAACTTACCTAATTTTGTCAATAAGGAGTGAGTAATTCTGTTTAACATAAGGGAAACCAGTGTTAGTAACCTTTTTCTTTGGCAGATCTAAAGCTATAGTGTCCACCTGGTTTTACCATAAATGTATCTATATTTCAGCTCCATTTTTCTACGTTGTATTTTTCACAATTGGTTTCAATCTCTGGGAATATAGAAGGTGGCTACTTTGCTAGTTTCTTAAAACCCTAGGCCGTTAGATGAGAAGAATAAAACTAGGCAGTACCGATCAGTTTTAATTCACACTGTAATACCTATGTCAAGTCTGAACAAAAACAAACTAATGTACCTACTACATGATCAAAAAAATCTGACTCTTTCACAATCACTGTAATTAATTCCTACACTGAGCTTCCATTGAGACAAATTATTGTTGAAGTTAAGTTTATCTAGAAATTTCCCTCTGATATGGACAAGGTTATTGTAGGAAGTTATGGTGTATTTTATTAATCCCATGTGTCTTCTGCTCTTCTCTGTCAGACCCTTCATTGCTGGTCTTTACCCTGATGGAGCTATGTGTACCACCTCCCACCGAAGTCAATTGCTTTGGCCAGTAGAATGATGGCACAAGGTCACTTCTGAGAAGTTCACGACCATCCTAAGTACATGTTCCCGATTGAAGCAGGCTGCTTCTTCAGCCTGGACTCCAACAATGAAGGTAAGAAATAGAACTTGTCCTCATCTGCCACTGAGATTGGGAGGTGTTTATTACCTTCACAAAGCCTTGCACAAGGTGACTAACACAGCAATTGTTCACCTGCTTATTTCCTCTCTTTCATTATTCATGTCCTATCATCTATCTTGTATCATGTAAAAAATACTACCCCTTGTTCCTTTTCCCTATTATTAGAGGTTAAATTCAACTTGTTTTATGTTTTGAAAATGTCCATGAGAATATTTTGACATTGAGAATTTTTTTTAAAAAAACCTTGCTTATAAACACTCTTTGGTCTCTTAACATTGTCATACCACAGAAGCGAAGGAGGGCGTGTGTAAGATTTATATAGCTGACAGAGAATTCTATGTACTATGTGCACTACATTTATATTTTCAGCTTAAATCATTGAGTGATTATTTTCTGAAAGAATTTTGTCTTTCTTGGGGGAGGTTGAAAATCATGTCTACTCGATGATTTATTAAGTGAATAAGTAAGTGAAAATGAACAGACTGGTACTGATTTTTACCATAGGCAGCAAATTATGAATAATGATTCTTCCATGCTTGAAGTCCCTTGCAGTGATTCTGCAAATAATTCTAGTTTTCTCAGGTTGTTTCGGCCAAATGGATTTGCATAGGCAGGAGAAGCTAAAAGACAGCAGGTTAGGCTTCAAGCACTATATTGGAGGGCATACTGGAATTTTATTAGAAATATGGGCTTGTGTGCCATTAGGTGCTCTGTGTTCGTCATTGTCATATGCTTGCAGCTCCCTAAATCAGGGAGAATAGAAAATATTTAATCTAGTGTAGCAAACAAATACATGTGTTCAAAAGCTTTTAAAATGCATCTTGAAATGTCAGAAGCCTAATGACTGTATTCAAGAGGGTCAAGAAATCTGTGGGACTTATATTTCTTTACCTTTAGAGATACTGACATTCATTCCTATGTTAATTTTTCAAAGGTGGCCTTTTTAATATCTTAGACGTAAACATGAAATTTTCTTTTTCCTTGGACAAAAAAGTTGCAATTTGGCACTTTCATATTGTGCAAGCAAATATTATAATCCAGCTATATTCCATAACAGAATACCTACTTCCAAATATGTATATCTGATTCAATATGCAAAATGTATATTTATATTTATAATATAATTTTCATGAAATTGACAAATTCCTCTTACATCATACATATTTTATATGGTAAATATTATTATTCCCAAATACCAGAAACTTGCAATTAAAATTTGCCAATATACCATAACTTATTAAAATGTCTTAATACTAAACACAATTTACCTCCCTGTTTTTGGTATTTTTAAAGGTGTTATTGGTGGTGGTGGACTGAACTTTGTTTGCTTTAAATTCAGAAAGTTAGAATAGAATGTTCATCTTTATAGCTTGTGGTAAAATGACTCTCCAATACATACTATGTATACATAGTAGGTATGTTGTATAGTGTCCTTTTACAGATAAATATCTGTATTTCTATTATGTCATTTTTCTTTGCCAGAGTAATGATTTGAAATCATATTTTAATTAGTTTATCAATTACCTGTAATCATGCATTTATTAGATAATTATATTATCTTTAGCTTCATGTATTTGTGTATATTTACATACATACATATACAACACTACCTCATTGGCTATAATAAAAATTTTGTTGCATTTCTAGTGTGATCTAACATTTTTAAGGTAACATGTATGTCAATATTTTAGGGTCATTTTTTATAGAACACTTTTTTTCCTATGTCATAGTAATTTTGGCATAGAAGTATGCAGAGAGAGATTTGACAAATGCAGAAAACCAGTGGTGGCAAGGAAAGCTACTGTTCATGCAGAAACAAAGGAACACAAGAAAAAATTTGTCAGAGCAAGCTACGTGTAACAGAGCCTCAGATATGCAGAGATATGGATCAAGTGTAGGGAAGTGTCTGTCTTCTTCTTGTTCAAACAACCTGGACCCCCTGACTCTACCTTTCACTGAATCTTTGAAAGGAGAAGGCTGTGATAGAAAATACAGCTTCATCCGGCTCCTGGGCCCTCCTCTGAAAGATCTCCAAATAAGGAGATAGTCACCCAGGAACAAGGGTTATGTTTACACTACGTATCTGAGACTGGCAAGATCCTCAACATGAGGACGCATTAGAGAATACCTGTCCCATTGCCCAGACAGCATGTCTACCTAAACATGGTGGCCCCCAAAGAAAAGGAGTGCCGGAGTTCTAGTTTGGTAATTTAGAAATGTGTGCTATGAAGAAAATCTGTGGTCTGAAGAAGTTAAATCTGACATGAACTGGGAAAAAATAAGCCTAGGAGGACAAGGAGGCAGAGGCCACCATGGAGACATGATAGACTCTAGCAAGGTTTCTGGTTTGATTCAAGCCCTTCAAATTCCCACTTGGGGAGATCTGGGATACAAAAAGGAATGCATTGAGGACTTTGGTCTTTCAAGAATATTCCTGTTGTTATAAACTACTTACATTTTTTTCATTTTTATTTAGTAAGACTCCAAAGAATAATTTCATGCCATTTAGACCTGTATAGAAATCTCCAAAATCCATTATGTTCTGCCTTCTTATCTAGAATATTTGAAATTTCTTTTATTCAAATCCTTCAAAGAGCTCAAAATCCTTAGTAATTTCATTTTTTCTAATTGAAACTTATTATAATAACACATATAACACATAAAGTTTAGAAAATGCAAATTTAAAATTTCAAAGATAATAAGATGATCAGTTTGATAGTCAAAATCCACCTTAATATAAAGAATGTTACCAGGATTTTGGAGATCTTCAAATTGTCCCTCATTAATTGAATACTCCTCTCTTTCCCAAGTAACCACTGTTTTAGATTCTGTGCTTATCACAAAAATACTCACACTGTTATTAAAACTAGTTTATCATCTATTTATGTAACCTTTAACAACACATGGTACTAATGCTTCTTTGATTTCCCTCTTTGCAGTGATAATATGCTTCAATTATTTGTCCAGGTGGGAATAACTCACTGTAGAGTTAGTGTAGTTCACATTTTTTAAGAATATACTAGAATTTATTTTTATATTCCATTATCGATAAACATTTGTATATTTAAAGTTTTGCCCTTTAAAGATGCAGATATGAACGTTCTTGTACATGTGTCACATTGCACATGGCCAGTAGTTTCTCTGGCCTGTATTCCCTAGAAGCAGAATTGACAGGTGTGCAAGTAGGCCAACTTCACTCAGTCATGTTAAAACAGTTTCCAAAGTGGTTGTATCAATGTGCAATGGCACAGAAATACATGGATAAGTTTGTTTTGCTTCAGAATTTCTCCAACATCTGGTACTATTTAAATTTTTAATGTCAACCAATTAGATGGATGTGAATTGGTATCTAATTTTTTCTTTACCACCTACCATGTTTTTAATTTAAATGTTGCTCATTGCCAGTGAGGTGCAACCTATTTTTACATGTTTATGGCTCATTCTTATTTCCTCTCTTCTGATGCCTTTTATCCCTGTTTCTGGTGGAGGTGTGACATTTTTATTTTGCCCTGTGATGATTCATTATATATTATTTGATATGACAATATCTTTCTCAATATAAAACTTGCCTTTTACTCACTGCATTATAACAAAAATTCATATATTTGTTAATGTTCATTCCTTTTTTGCATGTTGTTTAAGAAATTCATACTATCACATCATTAAAACCTTTGTTTTCTAAAATTTTATAATGCTGTTTTTAAATTAAAATTTTTGTTCTACTTAAAGTTATTGTTTGTAAGAGGTGAGAAAGGAATAGAAATCAATTATTTGGAATGCATAAATCATGAGCAAAATTAGGTAGTTTGTCCATTCTCCACTGAGCTGAAGGGCCAGGTAAGTTGTAAATCATGTTTGATTATGTGCATGGATTTCAAATACCATATTTTATAGTAAGTCTTGCTACCTGTTTGGAAAAAGTCACCTCATCTTGTTCATATAAATTTTAGAATCACCTTGTCATTGCCATGAATAATTCTGTAGAAATTTGGTTGAGAATTTTATTGAAGCTAAAATAAATTTTAAAAATAATTACTTCTTCATATTCAGTCTTCTTGTCATATAATAAGTGTATTTCTTATTTGATCTGGGTCTTCTTTAATATCTTCAGAAAAGTTTGTCTTTTTTCTTGAAGAAATGATTTATCTTCTTTTAATATTATTTCTAAGTTTATTGCATTTTCTTGCTATTGTTAAATAGCATTATTAAGGCCTTCTTCACCATTATGTTTCCTGTCTAAAATCTCAACCATTGTCTTTAATTCTAATAATAAGTGTTAGTTTTGCTATACTTGAACTTCATAATTGGAATCACTTCATACTATATTTTGCATCTGGCTTCTTTAATTCAGTGGTATATTTATGATGACACTAATACTACATGATGTATCAAGGTTGTATATTATTCCATTCTGGCAATATATTAATCTATATTGATGGATGTTTGGCTTGTTTACAGTTTTGGTTATCATGAAAAAAATAACAGGGGCTAGGACTGTGGCTCAGTGGTAGAGCGCTCGCCTAGCACGGGCGGGACCCGGGTTCAATTCTCAGCACCACATAAAAATAAAGGCATTGTGTTGTGTCCAAGTCTACAAAAAAGACTGACTCTCTCTCTGTCTCTCTCCTCTCTCTCTCAAAAAAAATAACAGTATGAAAATATACACAATTTCTGCTGTATGTATTACTGTTGTGTATATACACAGCAATCACACCAGGTAGTAGAGGCTATGCATATTTTCAGTTCTCAGAAATATTTACAATTTTTCAAGGTGATTTATGAATTTATACTACCATAGTAATGTATACATATGGGTTTAAGTTTTACCTTCCTCATTCTACCGCTTAGCACAAATATGCTATTTATTTATTTATTTTTGGTAGGTATGTAGTTTTATCTAATTATCATCTTAATTGGTATTTCTCTTTTATCTAAAGAGGATGAACACTTGTTCATATACCTATTGACTATTT